ACATGGGGTAAAAATTTGTACAAAGCTCATTATTGACTCAAAAGAATCATTGTTTAAAAAAATGCTATTGTTTAAATGTTTGAAGTATATGTAAGGGTGATACTAATCAGGAGTGTCACAGGGACTGTACTATGATATGATGCATGATATGCGTAACCAATGATTGGTCACATAATGTTTTCTCGCTAGGATCCGACCATTATTTGAATTAGTATAAATTACATGATCGATATACATATATATATACATATATATATATATTTCTTCTTTTACATTACAGTATTTGATAATTTGCCGCGTATTCTATAGTAGATGCTATTTTTAATTAATTATTTTATTTTATATTATTTTATTCATTTATTTATTTATTTATTTTATTTTATTTTATTTTTTTCATTAATATTTTTGGAGTATAACTTAGGGAGCCTTTCATTTTAATATCATTTGTGCATCAATCTACCAAATTATTTTGCGAATGACGTGTATTTATTTGATTAAAATATTTTTAACTATGAAAAATATTAATTATTAATTATGACTCGGTTATTAAACACGTAATAAAGAATAGTAAAAGATAGCCTAAAAGGAGTAAAGGATAAAGAATAGTAAAGCATAGCAAAGAATAGCAAAGAATAGCAAAGAATGGTAAAGAATGGCAAAGAATAATAAAAGAGTAAGAATAATAAAAGAGTAATAAAGAATAGTAAAGCATAGCAAAGAATAATATATAAAGAAAATAATAAAGAATATTATAGAGTAGTAATTTATCTTTTTTATGTATCGCCTTTGTTCTTGTCTATATGCATAATAAACCAATCGAATTATTTGATTTTCTCCGTTCTTTTTTTAAGAATAAATTCCAGTCTGTAAACCTGAAATAATATTGGTATTATTCATACCTTGTTGTACCGATTACCAATTAATCAATTCTCTACGTATGTCGGCATTTGCACGGACGAAAGACTATACTCCTTACATTTTTTTTTTTTAATAGGTCTGATCATTCTTACATTTACCTTGTTTGAAAATTTTGACATATTTAAGTATGAATATATTTAATAAGCTTATTTTATTTACATATTATCTCAATATAGATATTTTATGTTTTGACGTAGTGTACCAATTTATTGTCGTAATTTATTATCGTAATTTATTATTCGTAATTTATTATCGTAATTTATTGTCGTGATTTAAAAAAAAAAGATATGATTACAAATATTATTTTCGAAAATATTATTCTTTTTTAAAAAATTTTCTCCGTGAAAAGGAATCAATTTTAACTTATCTTGATTCCTAAAAAAATATATACATTCCTCAATTGTTGATAACTAATCAATGAATAACCTGTTGTAGACTAGTCTGAAAGTTTAGAGCGGAGTATTTAACCCGTTTTTATGCGAGCTCTTTTCATTAATAATGTTAAATTTTTACTTAATTGTATAATAAGGTTTTTAACCGGTTTGATGGATTGATTGAATGGATATTAGATTTAATTCTAGTTTAGATAATACTGTGGATGAAGGCTAAAACTAGGTTTTTGTTTATATGCATTTTACTTAACTCGTTCTAACATATATAAAAAAAATTTTTCTCAATATTTTTTTATTGTACTGTATATTTGTTTTTTTTTTTTTTTTTTTTAACAATGCAAGCAAAACTTGACAAGGGCTCGTGATATGCCATTAATGTAATAAAAGAAAAGAAAAAAAAAAGTATATATAACTAAAACGGAAGACAAAAGAAAAAAAACAAAAGGATACTTACTGGTTCTTAAAAAACGAGAAAGATCTTGATAATTTAGAGTTGGGCATCAAATAATGACATTCCAGGATTTAGAATAGACAATATACTGTAATCAAAAATCTTCATTTATTATTATACATGCTATTGCATATATAAATTTTTTATATAACATAAAATATTTCAAAAAATCGAGACGCAAAGAAAATTATTATATTGTAAGAGGTAACTATATTGATGTAACATATAAAAAAAAAAAAAAATTATAGTCATCAGATTTTTATGCAGGACCTGTTTCAAAGCTTGACAATAGACGTCGATCATATCCTATGCGTCGCTTTTTTTCTATATAAAGGTCCACAAAAATTTTCCAATTTGCAATCAAATTTTCGTGAGGCAAATAATAAATAAAAAAAAAAAAATCGTTTTTTTTTTTTTTTTCTAACGAATAAGTTCTAAAAAACCTCTTAAACATAAACGTCCGAAAAAGATGTCTTCTATGCCTCCTACAAAAGAATTCCTCTTTATTAATGAATGTGGAAAGAAACAACAATCTAAGACTAGTCCTCCAAAAGACTTAGAAATTGAGTTTCCTCCAACTTTCGACTTTAACGAACTTGGTGACAAATTTAAAAATGGTAAAGGAAAGAAGAAACCCCCAAACGCGTTTATCCTTTTTAGGACAAAGTATAATGAAGCTTTACATCGCCGCGGTCAATTCTCACCCATGAAGGTTGTCTCTGGCTGGGCTAGAGATGCCTGGAATTTACTTCCATTATATCAAAAACAAGAATATGAAAGATTCGCAACGAGAGCTGCTTCCCTGTATCAGGAATGGGCCTTACATTCTCCAGCTAATCATTCACAAAACAATCGTAATCGAAACAAACGTATTCGAACTGCTAACGGTTATGATGCTACTACTACTACTAATCGACCATCCAGTATGCCTATTCAAGAACCACCTCAATCACCTCCTTTGCTTGCTTCACCAGCTTCTCCGTTATCTGCTGATGAATCAAATAATGAAGCAGAATCTCCGATCTTACAGAATCTTACGGGAACATATCAAGCCGGTATATTTCAACCTGTGTTGATACCCGTCGAGTCCGTTCCCTACGAATTAAATGCCAATATTTATAATAATTTTTTCTTTTATAATATTGATGGTGACTTTGGCATTTTTAATCCCGTAAATTATGATCCAGACCTTCTCTACGATGTCAACGATTACCCCGATGTCCTCTCTGAATTATCGGATTGATCGATTGACTTAAAAAACTTTATTCATGTAAAAAAAAAATCTCATTATCTTATTATTATTTATAGTTTGTATATTTAATTTCGAGGACTTTTTTTTTTCTTCTTACACATACCTTAATATTTCATACATTTTTTTTTTCTTTTCGATTTTACTTCATATTTCACACATTTGGCATTCTTTACATAATTTAGCATTAAATTTGGCAAAAACTTTTTTTACTTTTTTTAAATATATATTCATCACAAACACAAACACAAACACATATGCTATGATTCTATTTTCTATTTTTTTTTTTTTATTTCTATGCAATACCAACAATCCTATATGCTATTATTAATTTTTAGTCGTTTTTTTATTTTTTATTTTTTTTATTTTTTTACTTAAAATAAAAATCGTATTTTTTCTCGCTTTGGTTGTTAAAAAAATTTGTACTATTATTATTTTTACTAGACGATATATAATGTCATTAAAATATCACATAACGTCACTATTTTAATATAACTGCGTATTTTTTTTTTTTTTTTTTTTTTAAAAAAAAATATATTTTTTTTTTTTTTTTTTTTTTTTTTTTTTTTTTTTTTTAATTTTTTTTTTTCTAGTGAAAAAACTAAAATGTTTGCTAAACACAAGTTGAATAAAAGAAAAAAAAAAAAATTATTGGTTTGGCAGTCACAAAAATGCTTTTAAAAATAAAATAAGTAAAATAAATGAAATTTTTGTGCATATCGATATCCCTAGAAAAAATTTTGAACACTTCTTTCTGTAAGGCAATCCTATAAAGATGAATTTTATTAATAATAGAAATGATTTGCTTTGTTTCTAGAAGACTAAGAAATATTATTATGCACGATCATGACTTGCATTAACAAACATCAATTATCACATTCCTTTTCATCTTTGTTTCACAACTTCTTTCTTAACAAACATTTTTTGCGCAAATAAACTGATGAATAAATTAAATGTTTCATTAAAATGATCGACAATTTAGCATAGTTCTTTATGTTTATTATTACTTTTCTTCCCTTTCTATGCATTACAGCATTTCATTTATGGCATCAAGAATTTCACCATACATTTACTCCTTGTTACCAAGTTAACGGTATTCTATATTAAGACATTTTCACAATAAAAACAAAGCTATTATTTCAACGACTCACATATTGAAGCACATGACTATTATGACAAACGCATGCGTGAGATGATGTATAATTATTGGGAAAAAGACCCATAATAGATTACTAAAAGTGGTTAAATATAAAGTTCTTTGTCCTCTTTTATGACTCAGAGTTAGTATGTAACTAGAATGCGTAATATTAAAATCTGTGTTATACATTTATGCACTATCTATACGTACTATATATCTAATTATATAAATATATATATAAATATCTATTACATCTATACATCTATATTATACATCTATATTATACATCTATATATCTATATTATACATCTATATTATACATCTATATTATACATCTATATTATACATCTATACATCTATACGTTAAACATCTCATCAATTTTTAACCACGTATCAAAAAATTATTTGTGGATACTGCGGAGATACTGATTGTGTATATATTTGGTAAAAATTTTTGTATCGCACATTAGTTTCAATTCTTCTATAAAAATAACTGTTAATGCCGTGTCAAAATTTAATCCGGCCCGGTTCTTTTACAGGTCTACTTTTAGTAATAGGATGGAAAATAGAAAAAATTGTATCACATGAAGTAACTCAATTCCGAATCTTTATTATGAAAAAAAAAAAAATTCCAAACTTTTGTACTCTCTTCCATGAATACGATTAGAAACGCCAAACCTATTATCTAAATTCCTTGACAGGGTCAACCGGTCAAACATACATGAAACAGATGAATGAGTTGTCGAACAATGTACACTATCAACTGTATGAGTAATATC